CCCCCCCCCCCCCCCGGGCAGCCGGTGGGCCCCAGGTCGTGTGCAGTCCCTTCCATGCAGAGCTGTTGGTCCTTCATAATGACGTCCACATGTGACCGCTGGCCGGGCCTGTCATAGAGAAGAGGCATTGGGGGCCAGTTGCATGGAGTGAGGGAAACAGAGGGGATTAGGGAAGCAAAAGTCCTTTTTCCTGGTACCTGAGACTGTCAGAATACCCGTTCGTAGCCCGTAGCTGATTTGCTGACAACTCCTTCAAATATTTTCCGACGGCTCGAGGGATGCCGACTGAAAGGGGTGCCGACAGCGGTTCATGAACAACCGTCCGAAATCTGCACAGTGTAAGGCCAGCTTTAATCCCTATGTTTGTGTCTCTGTTGGGAAGATTCACCCTTGCTATTTGTCCTGCCGCACAGAGCTGAAAGTTGGGGAGGATCCGGAATTCTGAGTTGTCGCCGGAACAAGAATAGAGGAATAATCTTCCAATAGGTGACCAGGGGTAGGCAACCTTGCCACTCCAGCTGTGCTAAAACTACAAATACTGTCATGCCTTTGGCTGATACCTGAGGGGATTTGTGGTTCAACAACTGCTTTTAGTGTCGAGGTTGCCTACCCTGGTCTAAGACTTTGGATGAATTTTTTACTCTTCCCGTTGCCCATGAACAATGCGTTTGTGAAGCATTCACTGCTTGAATTTGTCAGGTGAATTATTCAAATCAACATTCATGGCATTTTTTCTTGCAAACCATTTCCCCCTCGGAGCCGCTGCTTTTGTCTTCCTTCTAAATCTGCCTAAAAAAGGAAGTCCGTTCCTTTGGAGGGGGGTGAGCTTTTGCCATAATCCTCAGGGTATGTACAGCATACGTTCCTGATTCTGGCACTCGCCGATCTCCTCTGGTGCTGACGGGTCCAGGCACCCATGACCACTGGGACCCCCCTGCAGCCACGTTCCCCGCTGCTCATTCTTCTGGGTCCCACAGCTATCCTCTTCTGCCATTGGGCAGCCGCTGATGATGGGATAGTTCTATGGGAGTTATATGGTCGCCAGCACCAGTCGTTTTACAGATGTGGAGAATACCTTCACCCTTTTACATAACCTGGCCCATGCAAACAAGGGGCCCCAGTTGTTTATAATGTACTGTGCCACAAATATTGTTTAATGCAAATGCCATACCCGTAGGCCCTTTTCTGTCATCCATGAAGCCTGGACATATACTCCCAATATTTTCATTTCTACATCCTGCCTCCTTAAGGGGACATTGGCGTCCCAGGAGCGAGCGCTCTTTCTGGTTCGTAATATTTGCAATGCATGCTCCCTCTCCCCAATCCATTTACACCAAGTGCATTGGAACTGCGTGGGTCACCTTTTCCAGCACAGACAAGGCACTTGCATTGTGGTGGTGTGCACTGAAAGTACTGCCAGCCGATCGTGGTGTGACGTGGTACAGTGCTGTGGCCCATAGGGAAACTACAACCTCCTATCCCTTGGCCTCTCTTTGGATTGCAGTTGCTATGGTGCGGAACATGTGATCAGCTATGACACCAGCCATTTGAGGGCTGGAAAGTTCGGTTCAGAGCTGAAAAGAGCACACTGGCAACCTTGATGGTTGGCATGCATTGAAAGTCACTGTTTTGGTGGGTCAATAAAGTTCTAACCAAAAAAACAAAAGTAAACATGATTGGCACATAAGCAGGATTACCCATTCAGTGCGGCTGGACCATCACTCTTCTCCGGGTGGTGTCAGGATAGGCATGGCCTGCAGCGCTTGGTTGCATTTGATACTCCAGTTCATTTGATTTGCGTTTGGTCTGGGTCGGCATCGTAGGAGCGAGCATGCTTTCTGGTTCCAGATATGTACAGTGCACGCTCCCCCTAACCCATGAACGTCACACCAAGTGCATTGCTCCATGTGTTGGGTCGGCATCGTAGGAGCGAGCATGCTTTCTGGTTCCAGATATGTACAGTGCACGCTCCCCCTAACCCATGAACGTCACACCAAGTGCATTGCTCCATGTGTTGGGTCGGCATCGTAGGAGCGAGCATGCTTTCTGGTTCCAGATATGTGCAGCGCACGCTCCCTCTTCCCCTAACCCATGAACGTCACACCAATGCATTGCTCCATGTGTTGGGTCGGCATCGTAGGAGCGAGCATGCTTTCTGGTTCCAGATATGTGCAGTGCATGCTCCCCCTAACCCATGAACGTGTTGAGGACACAGTCACACCAAGTGCATTGCTCCATGTGTTGGGTCTGCAGATACTTACACAAGCCCTTCAGTCGTATCCGGAGCCGACTCTCCTCGCTGGAGTCTAGTGCGCCTTTCATCCAATTTCTTTATTCCACTTTGTACTCCTCCAGAAT